AGTGCCAATCTCTTTTCTGTTCTGTCAGGACAGATGACATATGGACAGGGGTGGCATACTGGTGAATAATTTGCCTATATTGTCTGTGCCATCGCTTTGAGGATGATGTTAGAGACGAGAAAACTAGCAAATTTATGACTAGACACCATGGTTCCTCTCCTACAATCACCTACCCCAATTATCCATAACAAATACCTCTGTTTTACTCTAACATGTATTTAATAGATTGCTGTGCAAGGTCAAGACATTGAATCAAAATAATTTTCTTTATTTTCCAACATCTCAGATATTGCAATATTGACATGCTGAGTATAAATGAAATGAGGTTTTGGGGGCTACATCTTTGAGAGGGGAAATAATGACATCTGCGATGATTTATTTTCTACATTCATGAAATCACAAACGCCCAGTGAATGCTGGTTTCAAATAGAGGCCCCTGGCTTAATGCATCAGGCCTTAAATGCACGAACATTTCTTTAGTGCTGCTTAGCTGAGGTTTATCACGGTCATTCAGCCATTGCCTAGCAACTTGAGAAGGCTATCAATGGGCTCTTTGTCCCCAGTCCTGGCAAAAACAATCTCTTGAAGATCTCCTTATCAGCACTGGAAAATTTATCAGGAAGAAGTGCTCCTTTGAACAAAACCGCCTGCAAATAGAAACCCACCCTCTTCTCATTTGCCCCCTTTCCAAATATTTTAGGAATAATCTCTAGAAACAACTAGTTTTAATCTGTTCCTTGATGGATATCCAAAAGAAATTGTCTTAGGGTATCTCATTATTTTTCTATTTCTCATAAGTTGGAAATAACAGCTCCCAGCCCCCACTTATGTGGGCCTGTGTGTTGGCTTTTCTTTCTGCTCTAGCTTCTATCCTTCTGGGCCCTCACATTCAGGACAAGTGTTCTTCCACTACTCACTGTCCCATGTCCTCTCTGCAAATACCGCTATAGACACACTGAAGTGTCAATTCTCTTTATCCAGGAGCATTGGCACCCAAGGTCGATCATTACATTCAGTGTGTGTTAGCACAGTCAGGCTGTCTCACTTTCCCAGGTGACAGGATGAGTTGCTTGGGGTAGGGACAGAGGAACTTTTCATCTGCATGCTCTCCACTGGTCTCTAGAATTCTTCTTCCCCTACATTTATCTCAACTTGTAATTCGACTTTTTTGTCTTCAAGACTCATCTCTTCACACCTTCATTCACCTTTCTATGAAGCATGGTGCATCTATACCATCCCTCATTGGGTCTCTGCTAACATGACATGGTGTGCATAGAGGGTCTCTTCCCCCACAGCATGGTGCTCTTAGCTATTCTCTGTGAGCCCATGGCTGTCCACATGCTTCACTCGGTGTTTCTAGTTCCAAAGTCCCAGGTGTTCCCAACTCTGGTAATTCCTGAAGGATTTCTGAATGCTTCTTGGGACTCTGAGTCTTGTTGCCACTGTTCCCTCAGCCTAGAACTATTTCCTCTCCTTCCTCAGTCACTGGACAGAGCTGGGGGCCTGTCCATGGCTTTATCATCTGGAGTTTTGAAAAATGTCTTTTTTTTTTTTTTTTTGAGAATGTCTCATCAGCAAGCCAGTACTGGCTAGACTCCTGGAAGACATATTGACTTACATTATTTTTCATCTTTGGCAGACAAGGAAACAAAAATAAGTTTTATAGGATTTTCTCAGAGTGGGCAAATATGAGATCAGTAGAAATAACGAGATGAGGGGGAGTTAAAGCAAGCTTAGAGCTCTTTCAACCATCTCTTCATCTTGGAGCATGTCTCACTGCAGGGCTGTCCTCACTCAGCTCACATCCCCAACCTGATGCTAGGATGTGACTCAAAGAAACACTTAGCCAGGACTTAATTGTGATCCTCATGGCCTGAAATTTTACAATTATTTATTTCTTAGATTCTCAAAATGTGTGCCTTCTTGCAATATTAATAATCCCTAGAGAAAGATCCCAGAAATGATAGATTTATTATGCCCTTCCCTGAATATATAATGAAAGAAGAGATGGCAAGAGGCACAGAGGGTCTGAGGAGAGGCAGGAATGTGGGATACAGGATGTTACAGAGGGGAGATAGCATTCTTTTCTATTGACTTCTCTCATCTCTGATACTTGTTCTGAAATAGATTAGGCATTAATATGTGCAAACAATAACTCTTTTACTGCATACAATAAAAGAAGAGAGCTTAAATTTCAAAGAAAGAATAGGAACTGAAATGTTTATAATTTACATTTGAAGGAAAGATTCCTTCCCGATACTAAAACTAAAGAAACCAACGTTATTTAAAAAGCAATTTTGGTTCTGCTAAAATATGTTTATATGACTGGAGGCAGGTAGTCTCTGGAACAAAATGATGGGTAGATCACACAAAGCATAGTGTTTCTTTGTTTGTTTTCTTTTCCAATGGATTTCTCAGCTGTTCCATGGTACTTTTTATTAACTTGAAAAATCACATTGATCATGATGGATGGGTATATGCTGGCCAGCTGAAGAAACCTCTTGAAGGAAGAGAAATCAAATACCAAGCATAGCATCACTTAATTTAGGTTTCTAACCTGGCCTTCTGTTGTTTTCCATAACTAACTTTGTGTGCTTATCCACTAATCATGATAAACTAGAATATCCAAAGCCAATGTGATGGCTATTCTTAGTTGTCAACTTGACTACATCTGGAATCAATCTAAAACCCAAATGGCTGGGTACACCTGCCAGGAACTTTTTTTAGTTAAATAATTTGAAGTGAGAAGACCCATCTTTCATCTGGGCCCCACCTTCTGTAACTGCCTATATAAAGGACATGGTAGAAAGAAGGGTTCACTCTGCTTGTTTGCTCTCACTCTTATCAGCAAATTCATCCCTTCACTGGTATTGCAGCCCACTTCTTTGAGATTCAGGTGTATACTGAGACAGTCACCTTTGCAGACCAAACAACTACTGGATTCTTAACTTTCTGTGGGTAGATAGTCATCGTTAGACTAGCAGGACTACAGTCTGTAAGCCACACACACAGATTCATTCTATTCTATTCCCCTAGAGAACCATAACTAATACAACCAGTATATGCTTTATACCTGAAGTGTATTCCATTCCATTATGGCTGAATTTAAGTGTAATGTGATTTGGCCAATAGCTGATAAATTAAGTCACCCTAAATGGCCAAGTCTCATGCTTCAAACCTCACTCCACATTTTAAAAAAATTTATTAAAAATCAGAATTAATTTCAGGTTGATTATAAGGTTACTGAGTAATTATTCTGGCTCTGATTCCCCAGGCTTCTTGTTGAGATTAGCCTGAATGGATCTGGGTCAAAATGCTCAGGGACATCTGAATCTATGAAGCAGGTGGTCCCTTACCATCTTGGCTGCAAACAGGAGCCTTGGCTTACAGTGAGGATGGAAAACCTGAAATCCAATCGGGAGGGAAACCCCAGACTGGGTACTCTTGATAGTACTCTCTTCAGACACAAAGCAAAGCTTACATTTGTAGACTGTTCCCGAGTTCACCACTGCTTTGAATGCCTTAGCTTCTGTGTGATATAGGTACTGACTTAAAGAAAACCAGCCTAGACTCTGTGGCAGGTGCTTCATACTCAGAGAGTGTCGGATTTGCAGGTGTGTCTCAGCTATCCGAAAAGCCTGGAGAAGTCAGATGTGTGTAAACACCAGAAAGAATAGCAGGCCTGCGTTTTACTTACTCATCTTGTGGGGGATGTTTAGCTCCCAATCAATTTATATCCAGAACTGGTTTCCTCTGGAATAAAAGTTTGTGGTAAGCTGAGTTGGACACATTAGGGGTTTGCCTTATTGGCCAAGCTAAGGACTTTCTAGAGGATAGACATGTGACAGGCAAAAGCAGAGATTATTTTACAGAAATGGCTTTATACCAGCTGGTGACATATTTGTGTTCATCTACAATGACTTCCATACTAGTTTCAGGGCACAATAACTTTTCTCAAAAAAAAAAAAAAAAAAAAAAAAAAAAAACAGGCAAATATGGGGTGGTCTACCCAGCATTATCCAGGCAGGGTCGCTGTGAACTTTCTGGAATACCAGATTGACCATGTCCTCCCTTGTTGGGAGGCCAGCAGTCACCAGTGCAGTCCTAGTTGGAACTTTGCAGGTGAAGGGCTCTGTGAGGTCTGATGTAACAGGGATATCCCTGTTGTGTTTCCAATACATTTGTACATTCTTACAAAACCCTCTTTTGCCTCCAGTAATGCCCACCTTTATTTCCGTTCTTATAGACTCAGCTTCCTGTAGGCATTTGTTTATTGGGTCATGACTGATTTAAGGATTCTTCATTTCCCAAATAAAAAATAAAGTAGCGCCACACAATTTCATAATAGAGACTTAGACAGTAGCTCATCCACAGTATTGTCTGGGGTGGCCTCCCTCTATCCATCCAATGTAAAATGAAATTTTCAAAGACAAAGTTGGTGATGTGTATGAGTACATCAGCGTATGCAGCACAATAGATGATTGAAATACTTTAGGATTGTGTTTTCTTGTCTTCTCCCAAGTAGAGCTCCCTTCATGTAAAAGAATTTAATTGTTTTGTGCTTGGCCTGATCATTGTACACTTTGTTCGTGTCTCAGTAAAAGCAAAGAATGGGAGGGGGGTTAAATAGGAAACCAGGAAATCAATAGTCTTTTTTTTTTTTTTTTTTTTTTTTTTTGATAAATTTTGCTTTCAATAGACAGAGCCCCTGGGCTTCCTGTTGCTCCCTTGTGCTAAAGAAGAAAAATCAATGTACTGAAAGTGTTCTCTCCTTAATAGCATTGGGGGAATTCTGGGTATTCGTTAGCATTAGGATAATTCTGCATGTTGGTATATACAGGCAGTGATAAGTGGATTTTAAGGCTGGTATCATCTCTGCTCAATGTTGTCTGCAACACTTGCTTTTACACCATCCTTGAGCCTCATGGTTGTGTTAGCAACCTCAGAAGGCCACATTGCACCCCACCCACCTCAGCCCCGCCCTGTGTGTGTTGTTCCAGGTGTGCACTGTGACAGTGTGTGTGCCGAGGGACGCTGGGGTCCTAACTGCTCACTGCCCTGCTACTGTAAAAACGGGGCTTCTTGTTCTCCTGACGATGGCATCTGTGAATGCGCACCCGGATTCCGAGGCACCTCATGCCAGAGAAGTAAGTGTCTCATAGGTGATGGTCTCTGTCCCCCTCTTCCTGGGAATTACGTGTAGAACAATCTAGGCTCTACCCCTAGTTTCTAGTGATGTTTTGTATCAGTCAAGGGTAGAGCAGTCCTTGAAGATCAGTCCTCAAATGACACTTCCTCAAGAACTTTGTTCTTTTCAACCTCTAAGACTAACTTACCAGATGGGGCGTTAACCCTTTCTTCTTGGGGATGATTTCATTACCTCACGGGCACCATCATCACGGCGCGATTCTCATTTACTCCATAGAGTGTGCAATTGGTGTTCCAGAAATCCACTGACCTGTAAATATTTTATTCAGCAATTTGGCATCAGCCTTACCTCAATTACCAGAAGTTAACATCAGCCAAACCCCGAGGCAATCACATATCTCACTAGCAAGCTGAAAGTCAGTACTGTGAGCAAATCAGAACTGAAAGTTAAAAATGGGGACTGTTGATGATGCGACATAGAAACCTCCAACTAAGAAATGATCTGTGCAGTTTTCTAAATCTTTGGGTAAATATAATAAATAAGAAAAGTTATTGTTCTCAGATCAATTTCCTTTTCCTTTAAGAGTTCAATGCAATCACTTCTATATTTAAATCCAATAAAATATTGCAAGCATGCAAATATACAGTTTTGTTTATTTGCTCTCTAATCACAACTGTCAACCTGGAGAAAGATCATCAAATCTGAGCGTTCATCTATTTTTTTTTTCCCAATCATGGTTCTTGAAGAATAAAGGACCAACAAATGGCTTGGCAATACTTAATTGTGACATTGACATTTAGAGTTTTATTTTCCCCATTTCCTTACTCGTTCAACAAATGTCTTTGAGCCTCTGGTCTAGGTCTGGCCTTGAGTCAGCCACAGGAGGACAGTGAGGTCTACGGAGCCGTTCCCTCGTGCCAGTGAAATCCACAGTTTAGTGTTTTCTTTCCTTGTTAAAAGCTACCCTTCTTGTTTCATGCCTGAAAAATTCTCACTATCATTTTTTTAAAGCCTTCTTATTCCTCCACTTTAACTAGACCTCCAAGTGGAACAGGAGATAAACCCAACTCAGAAAGGTAACTATGAGTTTCCATTCCATTTGCAGTCTGCTCCCCGGGTTTTTACGGGCATCGCTGTAGCCAGACATGTCCACAGTGTGTGCACAGCAGCGGCCCCTGCCACCACATCACAGGCCTGTGTGACTGCTTGCCTGGCTTCACGGGAGCCCTGTGCAATGAAGGTAAGCACCCAAGCACTCTGGAGAGCCATAGGGAGGATCAAGCTTCCTGAGTTCTGCTCTCAGACTTCCCCAAGGCCACCTGTCCTGCCATCAGCTCTAGGAAGTTCTGAAAGTAACACAATCATTGGAAGCACCACCTTGTCACAATGCTCCCTTGGTTGTATCTTATGGTTTCATTGGAACCACCATCTCCAGAAAAGTCAATGGGAGGAAGGATTTTGACTCCCTGGAGGAGAAACTACATCAGATTCCTACAGACACCCACAGGCCTTTGGTTTCATGTGTTTATAAAAATGAGTCCATCTGGGATTAGGGTATGTGCTGTCTTAAATGGAGGCAGGCAGGCAATGGGTGGCTGGGTGTGACCCTGGAATTTGTTTCCCATTTTCAGAGTTCTGTGAGATGAGTTCCAACTCTAGCTGACTGAACTTTGGTTTATTCACAGTGTGTCCCAGTGGCAGATTTGGGAAAAACTGTGCAGGTGTTTGTACCTGCACCAACAATGGCACCTGTAACCCAATCGACAGGTCTTGTCAGTGCTACCCAGGCTGGATTGGCAGTGACTGCTCTCAGCGTAAGTCTTGTTGGAGAACAACCTAACGGTTTCCTATGTCTTAGGATTGAATAATGACAGTTTATATGATCAAGAAAGAATATATGACCATGACCATCTATTAAAGGAAAGTATTATAGCTTTAAAATTGTGAGCTCTGTACAATGACCCATCAATATCTACCAACAAATTGATGTGACTGTTTGGGAAAAGCCTAAATTCATTTTTTTTCCTATTCACTGCTCAGGGACTTTCCATCCACTCTTTTTTCTTTCTCTTTCTTCCTTCCTTTTTTTTTCTTGCCATAAGGCTCCACATAGCCAAGAATGGGCTTAAACTCACTGTGTAGTCTAAGATAACCTTGAACTTTTGCTCTTTTTTGCCTCCACACCCCGAATGCTGGCTTTACAGGTGTTCACAGTCATATTTGGTTTTGTGCAGTGCTGGGAATGAACCCAGGGCTTCAGGGATGGTAGGCAAGCACTCTACCAACTGAGCCACATCTCTCTCTCCCTAGTATCCATCCATCCAACTAAAACAAAAGTAGATGCATTTAGAGATCTGTTGTTTTCTTCACCAGAAGATTGAATTAAGGATCCATGAAGAAGTAGAATCAAGATGATATGGATCTTAGCTTCCTGGGCTCCTGGGCAGATTGGCTACTTTACTGCCCCTCACATCTTGTCCTCTGTCTTAGCCCCTCAGGTGTCTCTCATGCTGCTCTTCAGATGTAGTATGACCCTAAGAGGAATTGTGTTGATGACTTTAGACTACCCATGACATGAAAAGAGGACAGTGGCCATAAGCCAGACTTTGAAAGGCCCAGTTAGTACATTTTCACAAAGCATTCAGCTTTGGACCAAGGACAGCACCTGTCTGCCCTTCTACTCTTCATTACAGCTTACATGAGCCATAGTTAGTTCGTATCAATTCCAACATGGTACACATATGGTAGGTCAAGGAATGACTCTGTTTGCGGGCCATTGAATTCAGACTATAGGGTTATCAATCTGTAAATATCAATTGATGAGGGATATGTTTTTGTCTGAAAGGTAGATTTATTTTCAGTCACTCAGGTTGCTCCCCCCTTCCCCCATTTCTGAGATAAGAAGAAAGCCTTTGGTGAAAGGAATGTTTGTTGTTATAGATAATTTCATAGTAGGTGCTTTTAATCTTTTGGGGGGGTAGACATTCAGAAGTAATTGCCATCTGTTCAAGCCTGTGCATGGCAGGGCTCTGACTGATTCAGACTGGCACAGGAGCAGGTTGTGGAATAGGTACTCAAAATGAATGGCAGGGCTTAGGCGAGAAAACAAAGACGCGATGTCATTGCTGGAACATGATTGGTATAATTTGCTTCTTTAATGCGTATTCTTTATTTTGGAAGTTGGTCACTTCCTCATTTGGAGGAGGAATGTGCTGGAAGGAACAAAAATGGGGACAGCACTGTGAATGGAGACAATAGCATGGCCTGTCCCCATAATCACTCCAGAGGAAACTGATTTATTTGGCAAACCTTGCCTCTCCTGGGGACCATTGGTTTCATTGATTCTCTACAGGCAAATCTTAATATTTCTTCTTGGCTGATTATCAGCCAGTTTCAAAAGAGGAAAGTCCTTCACCATGCACACAGAGACTTTGAAAACTAATGGAGCACATTTAAAGGGGGCAAGTGTCCTTGGCAAAATGACTCTCTGAAGCCTTGTCTCTGCATTTACCTTTGGGAAGGGAAGACTTAAATGATCTTTATTTCCAATCTCTGACCACAGCTGGCATAAGGAGTAAAGCCTGCTGCAAGTGGCAAGCTTAGAAACATATGCTCTGGGCAGAAGACAGTTCATGAAAGTTTATTAGCCATCATTGGAAGGAGCCTGTGTGGGGCTTGTGAGATTACTCTGTGGTTTAAAGCTCTCAGTGTTGAATCATGAGGACCCGGGTTTGGATCCCAGCACCCTGGAAACAAGCTGGGGGTGTGTGTCCCATAAACACCTATAACTCCACCTCAGTATCCTCTTCTGATATCCATGTACACACAGGTGTAGACAGCCACACAAATATTACACACACGTACACACGCGCGCGCGCACACACACACACACACACACACACACACACACACACACACACAAACCCAGCTAAAGTAAGCAAATATGAAAACGAAAGAAATGGTATTAGGGAGACCGGGTGGAAGAGAACAAAGCTGGGTTTTTCTTTGTTTGGAGATGGTTGTTGGGGTTGGTGAAGTAGAGAGTGGTATATGCAGCATAGGGCGGGGTGGACGTTTTAGTTCTCTTCACCTGAGCTTTACTGTGGCCTTGAGGGTGAACTACTCTTATGTGCCAAATAGCCAGTGTCACTGGGAATCTGTGTGGCCATTAGCCACAACTGAACCAAAGTTCCTCATCTGTAAAGCAAGCCTTTTTTAGAAAACACATCCGCACATTCCTGTGGATCATGAATGTGAACTGTTATTTTTATCTTCATCTTGCATAAAAATGGCACATGTGTTTATGGGAACTACTTCTCATTTTAAAACTATGTCAGGTTCATTAATTTTCTTTAGTGCTCCATGTTCTCAATCAGACTACAAGATAGAAATTATAAGTAGCCACCCTTTAAATATTTTCTTGAAGCTGTAATATAAATAAAACTATTTGGGAGAGGAGGAATCGAATTATTTTGCCCATACTTGGTGTGGCTTTCTGATAGCTCTTCCACTGACAGTAGCTACTGATGATTTAGTTGTATTGTCATCTACGTCTCCCAATCAAAATTTCCTATGAACAAACTGATTCTTCTAGCAGGTCATTTGGCACACAAAGTGAGATTCTAAGGGCAACTCTGGATCCTAGAGACCAGAACAGGATTGGAAAACTTGAAGCCCCAAGCCCACGACCTAAGGAAAATCAGAGCCCTGAGCCCATGATTTGGGAGTCACAAGGACTGCCCATCCTGATCTAATCCTTACTCGGTGTCCCCTCTCAGGGAGACTGGGTTTTAGGAGAAGCCTTCATCATTCTCGTCATTGAACCTGACTTTACCACAGCTCTTCCCACCACTGCTTTACAGTTGACTGCTAGTTTTGCTTCCTGGCAAAACAGAGGTGTTCAGAGCATAGTTCAGACTCCATTTTTTGTCCTTTGTTCTTCCTTGGGTCTAGAACAGTGCTGGGTACACTGTCAAGTGAGATCTGCCTAACAGTTGAATCTTTAAAGTAATGTTTGTTCCCTCAAGTCCTTCAGCCATGTCGGTAGTTATTGCAATCAGCATTGCCTCATGGCTTTAGCACAGAATTCAGTCTATCAACTAAATCATGAGCCTATCGTCCATATTAGTGGTATTAATTTAGCGCATGGAAGGAGATGGGGAGTTGGTGGATGGAGTGTTCTGTTTGATGCTGATCTGGAGACTCCAACTCATCTCTGCACACCTGCTGTGGTTTTCAGCCTGTCCACCTGCTCACTGGGGTCCAAACTGCATCCATACCTGCAACTGCCACAATGGGGCCTTTTGCAGCGCCTATGATGGGGAATGTAAATGCACTCCTGGCTGGACAGGGCTCTACTGTACTCAGAGTAAGTAAGGAGCCTTTCGAGGCTCACAGGGAGTGGGGGGAAGGAGGGCACATCCTCCCTGTTTGTCTGTATCATGTTAGGTCATGAGGGCTCCTCCCAAATGTATGTCATCTACTCAGTGGCCTTTAGATAGCTCCCTTTCTCTGAGTGTTTCCAAACCCCACATACCAGCGATCCTTCTGCTATCTTATATGAGGGTACTGAGAAGGACCAAGGAGTGAAGCAGTGTGTGTAATTCATTTCTAATGTGTGACTGATTTCCCTCTCTTTTTTTAAACCAGACTGTATTTCTGTGCACGAATGCCTTTATTTCTTCTGACTGTACAAACGTGAGAATAAATGATAGGGGATAGGAAGTAAGTAGAGACACACAACCCACAGATTAACTTGCTGTGTTCCGACATAGGAAATGGGGTATATATACAGAAATCAACCAACTCCACATTCCTGGCTCATCTCCCATGGTGTCTGATTCCATGTGTCTGGACCAGGACCTGTGAATCTGCATTTCTGTGTACTGGTGATAATGTCAGTCTAGGATCATGTTTTTAAAAGCATTTCTCTAGTTCTTACTCCCAGTCTGAGTCTCATACTGCCCTTCAGTTTTCCCCCTGTGGATTTTAGTGTCAGAAGATACAATGCTCTCATGTCCCCCGATGAACACATTGTGGAGAAATACCCTATGGCTTTCAGCTGAGTGAAGTGACAAGCCAAGAAAGCATGGATTATGGCCATTGCCAATAGTAACATAACTTGAAAGAATAGCCGGGCTGAGGGAAAAAGGCAAGTTAGGAAGTCGGTAAATCCTATTAAATACTAATTTGTAAGTATAATAGAGAATAGCTGAAAGAAGACTTCTAGAAGTTTCGAGGAAGAGAGAGGGCTATTGACTCAAGATTTGCAAGACAGAATTGGCAAGTGCAAATTTGAAAGCATTTCTCTGAATACTGTGTATTCATAAAGATGTTTGAAGTCCGTAGGGGGAAAAAACATTGACATCATTTATAATCCTAAAAATAGGGTGACTTTAAAAAGGGGATGCTGTTAAATGAACCACAGCATTGCATAGTGGTGCCTGCGTGTGTCTGGCCTTACCATAGCCCTGCCAGCCGTTTACCTGCTGGGATCCTCAAGGCTTAGTTCTCACCTGTAGCATACGAAGGCCCGCCTCTGTAATTTTAGGCCACTAACAATCAAATGTCAGAAAGAATGACAAGGATCTGGTGCAGAGCGGATGTCAAATAAATAGAGGGTTCAGGGGTGTCATCTGAGACCTGTGTCTCATTCCCACTTCTGAAAATTCTAGCTCTCCTTAAATGGCAGAATAAAAGGCATGTGCAGTATTTGGAAACAACTGGGGAATCTGCCTGTACTGATGCTTTCATTGTGCCTAAAGCAGCTGCTGATGCACGTAAGCTGAGAGAGAGAGGGAGAGAGGGAGAGGGAGAGAGAGAGAGAGAGAGAGAGAGAGAGAGAGAGAGAGAGAGAGAGAGAGAGTGTGTGTGTGTGTGTATGTGTGTATGTGTGTGCTCTGCCCAAGCTCTCCTGGTGGTGGAAGCCTTAGAAGCTATGTAGCAGTGCAGAGACCTAAAGGATGTTCCAAAGCAGCCATGAAACACAGTTGTTTTTTTCTGAGGCACTCTACCACATAATTAATAATAGTGATAACATGATTTAAATTAAAGACAGTCACAGTGGACAGGACTGGTAGAAGAATTTGTGTCATTTTGTACAAAGGTAAAAGCATACAGCCAACTGAAATACAAAATACTTTTGTCTGGAAAACACAAATCCAGGGTTCTAGAAACTGAGTGGAGAATTAAAGGGAATACGGCACCCTTTGAGGGCTCCAAGGAGGTTTGTAGGAAGATATACATTGACAGCTAGGGAACGCTGCTGCCTTCTGCTTGTGGATTACAGCAATCTCATTGTGGGAGCCCAGACCTGAGGCTCCTAAGCATCCCTGTGACAGCTGAGATGCACGGAAATGCCTTTACTCTCCAACAGTATTGGAAGTCCTTCAGGTTCAACCACAAGTACACGCAGGCGGGAGCCTTGTTTCTCACAGGCAGCCTTCTGACTGCCACTGTCTTCCCTCCTCACACAGGATGCCCTCTGGGGTTTTATGGCAAGGACTGTGCACTGGTATGCCAGTGTCAAAATGGGGCTGACTGTGACCACATCTCAGGGCAGTGTACCTGCCGCACGGGATTCATGGGACGGCACTGTGAGCAGAGTGAGTACACTACACGGCATCTCTGGGTACCTGCATCACCTTTCTCAAGTGCCCAGAGTTGCGAAGGCTGTACGACTGCAGCTTTTTTGAGTTGCTTAGGTGATGGTTACTAACCAGTACAGCTGATTTCCCCTTCTCAGGACCTTCCCACTAGAAACCTTGCTGGCTGTCTTTCCTCTGAATTCTGAGTGACTTCACCGGGTACTCTGGGTGGAAGGGGAGAGGCTGTAAGAACGCAGGCAAGCTCTACTTTTCCATCATGTCTGTCCTGGGTTCCCCCCTTTCTTATTTTTGGAACATGGTGGCTCGGAGGCTTAACAGAGATGGCTGGTCCCCCTTCATGGCAGCAGTGAACCCAGACTTAACATCAGAGGACAGAACACTGATTAGCAACAAATGCTGGGGCCTGGGACCAGCCCTAGAAACTTGCATGGGAATGAGTCAAGGCAAATGTTGCCACCCCTTTGACAATGACTTTTACTCTTTCCGCTAACACATTTTCATCCAAGTCTTAATCTTCAGGAGGACACACATTTTTTTATCTTAGTCTCACCCAGGAAGAATATACTGTAGGAATCACCCGGCTTTCTTATTTCAGTTTTCACCCCCCATGAACCATGTCTCTATTCACAAGGTTTAGGACTATTAGCCTTAAATGGTGGCTCCAAAGATGTCTCAGTTTAGAGATGGTATCGCCTGAACAGGTGGACAGAATTGGCATTCCTCCTCTCCATTGGAACTTTACAGCCCCCATTCAGCTCAGACATCTCAGCCTTAAGTGCCAATGCATGCCACCCCTCCTGCAAGTATAGCAAGAGCCACCCAGAGCCAGTTCAAGACAAAGACAGCATAATGAATCTTTGCATCACTGTTCCAGTGATCATAAAACAGTTAAGGAGTCACAGCAAGTCGAATGCACCTAGACCTACAAAGCAGCACAGGCTCTAAACAAACTTGTATGCAAGTGCCAGGCAACCAGTAAAGGTCTCATTAAGAAAATCCTCTTCAATTCTCCCATGATTTATCTGAATATGGAATTAAAGTGATTAAAGTGTCCGTATTTTTGAAGTTTATTCCCAATGCTCCTTAAAAACAGGAATCCTTGTTGCCAGACTTGGTAGCGATGGTACATCGCCCCCTGCTGTCCACTTTGCAAACAGCATCGGCATTAAAGATTATCAGTCTTAAATTCCATCCCCCTATACTGTTTTAAATTATAGCATATTGTAAGAATCGTACTGCATTAGTCTCTGAAACTATACTGGGTCATTCTATGTCAAGTGAAAATCTTACCTAGAATATAACCCAAACTGCTCCTAATTCCAGCTAATCCAAGTAAGAACATGTCTTCAAGAGGGATTGATTCCAGAGATGGCATAACTAGTTTGCCCTACTCTGTCCCACAGATCTGACTGTAGGAGTTCCCTCAATTTATTTTTCATGTTTCCATTGTTCCATGAGGACCCCACAGATCCTCTACGCATGCATCAGAGCACGGGCACTCATCAGGTTAATGTTTTAGGAGCTGAGCCATGTTGACAGGTTCAGTCCTGAGCAGCAGGACTGTGAACCCTACCATGGCTCAAGGACAACTGTCAAGCTTCACTCACCTCAGGCGGCACAGTTCTGTCTAAGCAGGAACCACGGGTAGGGCTCAGCACCTGATAAACAGAACACACAGAAAAAGACAGTCTCAGTCTGGGCCCCCAAGACTTGGGATTATAGTGACTTTATTTCCTCTCCAGAATGCCCCGCAGGAACATATGGCTATGGCTGTCGCCAGATTTGTGACTGTCTGAACAACTCCACCTGTGACCACATCACCGGCACCTGTTACTGTAGCCCAGGGTGGAAAGGAGCACGATGCGACCAAGGTAAGTACTAGTGAATAACAAGTGTTGCCTCTTTGTGTGTGGCCACCATGTACACTCAGCATTAAGTACTTTCACGTGTGATATCTTCAGTATGCCTCTTTGAAACTCATCAGGCTATCTGGTTATTTATATGGTTGCTGGGTGAATGTTTTACTTTTGCTGTCTTTAATAAGTGAGGAAACTGGCTCAAAGTTACAGAAGTTAGACAATATCCCCAGGGTCACCTAGCTGGTACTTAGAATGTCACAGCTTTGATACAATGCTTTTCTCACGCTAAAATTCATGAACTTTCTGTTTTTTTATATTTATTTAGATATAACCGACACATAAAGCACATACATTTATCTCCAGTTTTCTGAAATTTGTATATATCCCTGAAGTAACCACCACAATAAAGATAATACCCACCAGCCTGTATTCTTGTGTCCTTCTCTGTTACCTCTTCACTAGTTTGCAGGCTATCACTCATATTTCTGTCATTATTTATATTTTTCCCACAATTCCATGTGAAAAGAATCACGTTGTGCACTTTTTACACCTGGTTTTGTTTAGTCACCATAAATATTTGTAAGTTAAAAATGTGTTTTTAAGCAAATCAATAATCCAGTTATTTTGCTGCTGTGTAGTAGTCCATTGAATAGAGATACCACAATAGAAAACTGATGGCTTTCAGTGTTTGCTATCACCAAGGCACCAACAACATCTGAAAATGAAGAATGTCTGGTTTTTCCCCTGCTCTGTTTCCAAATTAGTGTTTCCTGGAGTGAAAACGCCCAGGCATTAAGCCAGTTTTGTTTTGTTTTAAATCAAGATCAAACCTTTACGTGGCCCCTAGTCACTCACACTCAGCCTGTTTCCACCCTCTCCTAGCTGGTGTCATCATTGTGGGCAATCTGAACAGCTTAAGTCGGACCAGCACCGCCCTGCCTACTGATTCCTATCAGATCGGCGCCATTGCAGGCATCATCATCCTTGTCCTGGTTGTGCTCTTCCTGCTGGCACTGTTCATTATCTATAGACACAAGCAGAAGAGGAAGGAATCAAGCATGCCGGCAGTGACCTATACCCCTGCCATGAGGGTCATCAATGCAGATTATACCATCACAGGTAGGGCTTAAGTGCAGGGAGGCATGTCCTTCCTTGCAAATCCAGGCTTCCTGGGCTTCTTAGGGATTTGGTATTTGGCTGTGTGTCCATTGTGTCTGGCAGTTTTCCAAAAGGCGACCACACATTCGGAAGAGGTATATGTGCCTAGAGACGTGATTTACAACTCAGCAGTAGTAAAATTATCACTTTCATTTTTTCAGAGGCTTTGAAAAAAATTTGTGTGTGTGTGTGTGTGTGTGTGTGTGTGTGTGTGTGTGCGCGCACACACACACACGTGCATGAATTTATTGCTTATGTGTATTCAGGTGCCTATGGAAGCCAGAAGAAGTAGTCAGATCCCCAGGGGAACTGGAGTTACAGATGGTTGTGAGCTGCCCAACATGGGTGCTTGGAATCTTGGAATTGAACCTGGGTCCCCTGGAAGAGCAGCAAGCACTCTTAACCATTAAGCCACTTTTCCAGCCCTTCTGTGAGGATTTTTAAATTGGGTCAATGAATGATTGCTTCATATTTAGGCAATTTCGTTTATGCATAGAATCTTCTGAACAGCCAATCCCAAATCCTCTCACATAGGAGTGGGGAGGAGAAAAAGAGTCAGGGCAGTCTGTGGTGTGTGCTCTTCAGCTGACATCCTCTGTGCCTGTACTCAACAGTAACTGTAGAGAGCCAGTTAGCAGGAGACGAGCCTGAGGTATTAGCAAGAGCCAAGGAAGTCCATTATAAAACCTCTTTTGAATCCATTCATCCTTCAAAGGAAGTAAACTCTTAAAGTGAGGAAACTGAAAATCTTACTCAGTCTTGAGCAATTACTGAAGGACCCTGGCTATATGCTTATAAATATTATGATTCTGGGAGAATATGCAAAGTGGGTAATTTACATAAGAGTGTATTTTCAGTGCAAAATTACTATGTCAAGAAACCAAGTGCTTTTAAAGAAGCAGATGGGTATAGCTGCTGGAGTTTCAAGTGATGCCGTCTGTGTTCTTACAGGTCCCCAAGCTAAGAGCAGTCTTCTGTGTATGCATTCCGTTTCCAAAGAGGCAGTAGCTGGTGCCTGCTAGTCTGGGGGCTTTTGAGGAGTAGGCTGGGTAGGAGAGGAAATCATCTTGATTAAATCATCTCCTCTTTTTGCAGAAACCCTGCCTCACAGCAATGGTGGAAATGCCAACAGCCACTACTTCACTAATCCCAGTTACCACACACTGAGCCAATGTGCCACATCCCCCCATGCCAATAACAGGGACAGGATGACCATTGCCAAGGTGAGAAAAAAGAATCTGAAAGTGGAGAGGGGAGAGAGACAAGGTGCACACATCCACCCGGGCCGCAGCTCACTGCTGCTGCTCTAGCTACTTTGTGCATCTTGCACACTTGTTTCCTCTTAAACTATCTTCTGAGTGTGTTTAAGCACCTCCAGGGACCTCACCAGGGGCTAAACAGTAATGGCTTTCCGTCTGTCCCATGGCTGCTGTATGCATTAAAGTCTTCTTGTCAACAGCCCCTCACTGTGCTGCTAATTTTACAGGAGCTGAAAACAATGTCTCATGATGACGCTGATAAAAACATAAATTCCTATTGTAAAATCACCAGCTTCATCTTTTCTGACCACCTGTGTTTCTGTGTCCTCCCCAGGATGCTCTTCGTTCCAAACTCACCTTCCCTCTGCCCCCCAATATCCATCGTCTGGCTCATCACTGTCCAGCTCTCTCTTCGGGAAAGAAGGGACAGAGCAAAAGAGGGGAGGGGAACAAAGTTGATGAACTAATCCACTGCCATTATTGACCCTGCTGGTTTTTCACCGTGGCATCTGAGAGTTAGTGATGCACACTGCCCAGATAACATATCCACCCCATCTGGTACAGGTTCCATGCTCGTGTTTATGCCTACCGGCGTGGCCAAGGCACTGGGGACCCATGGCGTCATGGAGACTTTGATAGAACCTAGACCCACAATTCCTTTCTTCAATTTAAAACTATTTTTTTATAACCCAAGTGAAGTCTAATTGGTAAGAGGTGACAGGTCCTGGGGACTGAAGGACGTTCAGTGTGCACGCCAGGAATGGGTCACTTCACCTCTTTCTCACCCTACTAGAGGGCAGAGCCTGGCCATCAACCCTGAAATTGCCTTTTCCCTGTGTGGTCTCCTTTTAAATCTTGTTTTTTCTTTTCCTAGTCGAAAAACAATCAGCTCTTTGTGAATCTTAAGAATGTGAATCCTGGGAAGAGAAGTGCTTTGGTGGACTGCACCGGGACGTTGCCAGCCGACTGGAAGCAAGGTGGCTACCTCAATGAACTTGGTGAGGCCCACAAGCGCATGCGCATTCTGGACAGTCTGAGCACTCACTCTGCTGTGCCAGCACTGTAGTCATCCAGCAGAAACACGCACCTAACCCGTATAACGGAACTATGTGTAACACCTCCATAGGGCTTACTAACTAGCCTCAATGTCTTATTTGTTCAGTGAACACAGAATTGACAGGCAAGCATCTCTGCCTGCTAGTTGCTTCATCCTCCGTTCTCATCAGAGCTCTGCTAGGTAGCCCCTCAGCTCCATGTTAAACAAATGAGCTATTAAAAGCTGAAGTGACTTCCCAAGTTTCCAGTAGCTTGCTTTAAAAACCTGTTAGAACCGGTCTTTGAACCCTGTCAGCTTTTGCCACGATGTGGGATCCTCTTTGTTCCCCCTTGCTATTGAATACCAGGTTCAGTGTCTTTCCACTTTTTCAGGTGTGGAAACACTCAAGCTGTTTGCAATCAAGATGGATTTATATTCTTAGCGAATACGCCAAAGGGCCCCCTGCTGATGGCTGATGTGGACGGTGTCTACTTGATAGTTAGCATATTGCAAAGTAAAAATTAAGCAACTTAAAAAAATAGTTATAATTTTAGCTGATTTACAGTAAGAACCTCATTTCATAACACTAAGAGTATATTATAAAACCACATTCTCTTTATTGAAATAGCAGTGTTAAAAAAACCTAACACCCCCATCCCACCCCAATTAAATGGCTCTGGCTTATAGCTTTATTTCCTGTCTGGCTTAAGAGCAAATAGCCAAATTCTCACATCTGCTTTTCAGTCACTTAGTCAGTTGTGGAGCTCATACTGTACGGCTTCAGGGAAAACCCACTGTACGCTTGAAAGAGAATTAGGAAGATTAGTGATCCAGTAATGAGCATGGGTTTACTGCCTTTGTGTCGGACTGGTTCTGTTGCTGTGATTAAAAACCTTTAGTCAAAAGCACTTCTAGAACACAATCTATTATAGAAGTCAGGGCAGGAACCTGAGGCAGAAGCCATGGAGGAATGTTCCCCCAGTCTCTCTCTCCCTCCAGTCTCCTCTCTTCCTTCCCCCTTTCTCTCCCCCTCCCCACATCACCACCCTCTGCTTTTAACTAAATCCTTAACATTGCTTTGAAAGATTAAAACAAAAATTTCCTGCAATGCTTACAGAAGGACTGATGCTGATGATGTTATGACAACTTAAGTGTTACAGTAATTGAAGCTCCATTTATTTCTACCGTGCTTCAAAGTCTGCAAGGTGTGTGTGTATGTGTGTGTGTGTGTGTGTGTGTTAGATTTCACTTAATAGTGAGAACAGCTACATAAGGCTGGAGTGAAGGTTTTGGAGAAGAGAACACAGACACTTGGAGCTAAGCCCTAAAATTAGATGCCTAGGGAGTGATGGGAGCTAAGTGCTTTGGTTCCTATGGGCTGCCCATTCCTCTTGCCCCTGATGGTTGCATGCAATCTTTATTTCCTCTTCAGCACTAGATCTGCAGTGTAGCATTTACACAAGGTGGCATAAAATGGACTAGAGGGGACTTCTTGTCTTCTCAGGAATGTGAGTGCTATGGGTTGGTAATTACAGCTGGATGCTCTATCAAAGATTCTTATATAGCTGCTTCATTGAGTTCAGTGTGTGACATTTTCACTGCCAACAGATTTCATTTTTTTCCCCAGTGTGAGCAGGGTGATTGATTCCAAACCAACACCCACCTGAAGTTCAAATCTTTGAAAACAAAATAACTACTTGTTTTATCTAGGTAGATTCATCTACAAATGCCACCCCCCAAAAAACAAAAACAAAAAACAAAAAAACAAACAAACAAAAAGAAAACTGGAAAGTCAACAGCTTCAAATAAAAGTTAATAAAGATGGTCAAGTTCCAGAATCCACTGGCAAGCTGTTAAGTCAACACACTTATAGTAGAGATAGTGCTATAACTGAATACTAGTTATTGAGAAAACTGTGAAAACCACCAGGCCCTTAAAGGAGCTGTTAGAGAGTGAACTCTCAGGTCTAGCCTTGACTACATTCTTTATCTTAGCCTTGATTCAGGTTTACTGTTCCTCTCTGCTTGTCCCTTTGTTCTTACATAAGTTTTCCAGCCGTTTCCAAGTCTTGCAAACAAGCAGGTGAATGACGAGATGAGTGTGTCCGTGTGTACTGCGCCCTTGGGTCCAGCTCCTAGCATGATTGGTTTAAAGATGCTGGAACAGAGCCATGGCAGCTCATTTTGGAGCAGCGTCTGCTGCGATTTGAGATGTGGGGCATGTTTCCTTTTACTTTCAGTCCTCATGGGCTGGTTTTCCTTTCTTCATCACAGGTGCTTTTGGACTTGAGAGAAGTTACATGGGAAAGTCCTTAAAAGGTACGGTGTAAACTTGAAGAAGTATCTCAGAGACGGAAATACTTTTTAAAACCAGCAAGTATGGAATTACTATGATAACCTAGAATTTTTCAATGTGACAAGTCACTGTACTACGACACCAACATGTTTGATGGACATAGAGAGAATGAGTATAGGCGGACCTGTTTTACAGGGGACAAATGTTACAGTTTTCCGAGGGAACGCTCATATTTTCTCGAAATGAAACAGCGGGGAAAGAGAATTGTGGACTGGGAAATAGCTGGATAAAAATTGAACAGTGATTAACAATGGCCCTTCATAGTGAGTTTGAGCAGTAAATCTATCCAGTACCAAAGTGTTAGAAAGAGCTTCCACAACATAAATGCCCCTCTTTCTATGATACTAGAAATACTCTGTGTTTCTGGGGCTATCAACTTCTGGCTTCTTGATTTAATTAGTAAATCTTCTCATAGTATCAGTACAGAATTGAGTGTATTTGAATGTGACCATCAAAATGAAATCAGATCCATGACATTTTTCTTGGCAGTCCCTTAGAAGGGAGCTAAAATTACTTTATAGATGGGCAATCTTATAGAAAATTATCTTCAAAATAAGTAGATAGTGCACATTGTTTTCATAAAATTCCATTAGAGAAAGCTACTCATAAAGAAAAAGAAGTAATCTGCCCAAGGAAATTATCACCAAGAAATAACGTTGCCTGTGAACTGCACTTATACCTTCCTTTTCATTTCTCTTCTCAGATCTGGGAAAGAACTCTGAATATAATTCCAGTAACTGCTCCCTAAGCAGCTCTGAAAACCCATACGCCACGATTAAAGACCCACCTGCACTCTTGCCTAAAAGCTCCGAGTGTGGCTATGTAGAGATGAAGTCACCAGCGCGGAGAGATTCCCCATATGCAGAGATCAATAACTCCACTTCAGCCAACAGGAATGTCTATGAAGTTGGTGAGTTCTCTATCCATATACAGAACCTTGGCCCAAGACTGTGTCTGAAACAGTTCTAAGTAAGCCCATGTTTTGTATGTAATTGTGTTATACAGAGATCATATTAATTGATGTGAAATGATCTTTTTCAGGGAAACAGCAATTAGCAAATTAAAAATAATTTTCCTTATCTTCCACATGGCCATCACGTTTTGTTTTATAACCATGATAAATATTTTTGCACACATGTGGAGGAGCATATGTATCCTATTAGTTAAGACAGCAGGTAAGTCAAAACAAATGGCTCAAGTGGACCAAACAGGTGGCCCATTTCCTGGCTATATCCATAACATTTAACATAATGCTTTTAGCAGAATTGGAACATTTTTATTTTAAGCTTACTTAATATGTCAGATGTGTTCTCTTATTAATCTGTTATGAATGAGAGTAATTAAATATAAAACTATACTTATTTTGAATGCCTTCTGTGAATGCCATTTGGGAAAAGATAAAACATACCTCAGCCAGTGTTGACTAGATAGCAGATCTACATATTACAGTCTCTCCATCCACATACACAGTATAAAAATATGTTGTTAATGGGGAAACTATAGTGAACATATTTATTTATTTGTAATCAGTAATAGCATCCTCCAACTGATCTTTCAGCCCACCACATTAAGATGAGAACTTAGCTCAGTGTTGAAGGCTAAACTTGTAAACGTGTCGAGTATTTCTATAAATACTCTTGCACCTGTAGGGTCAGGGGTTTGGACTAGGTTATTCCCAAGGTTCCTACACATCTTGATTTCTTCATCCTTGTCTCTGAATACTATTTCTGGGTTCCAGTTAGTGGAGCAACTATAGAGTTCTCTTCCCTGTAAAATTACAACAGATACTGGTTTTTTTTTAAAACTATTTCCCTAGATTTTTATAAAGTACTTCTTTTGTGTTTTATATTTGAAAGAAATAGCATCATCTTTAAATATTTTTCCCCTTGCTGATCAATTTCTGTTGTTGGTTGCTGGTTACAGAACCTACAGTGAGTGTTGTCCAAGGAGTATTCAGCAATAATGGTCATCTCTCCCAAGATCCATATGACCTTCCAAAGAACAGTCACATCCCTTGCCATTATGACCTGCTGCCAGTAAGGGACGGTTCATCCTCTCCCAAGAGAGAAGATGGTGGTGGCGGCAGCAGCAGCAACAGCAGCAGCAGTAGCAGCAGCAGCAGCAGCAGCAGCAGCAGCAGCAGTGAATGACATCAAAGGACTACAGGGTGAGCGCTGGAACTCTTTCCATGCCCGCTGTTCAGGTCTCCATCTTCCAGATGATGCTGCAGATGAAGTGAACTAATCCAATAAGCAGTTGTTGAACACATACCAGAAAGCTCCAAGCTGAGGCTGATGCCCATCACGGTGTGTTGTCAACAGATGGTTTGGAAGGAGGGAGCTTCACGATTTTTCATTGCTGTTAAGTTAGGAACTGCAAAACCAGTGACTTGTTATAAGATGTTGGATGATGGGGAGAACTTGGTAGAACCTATCAGAGACACAGACTTGAGGGGACACTGTCATTATCCCCTGAAAAATTAAAATCTGTTTGTTGTCTGTAACATCACAGAGACACCCATAGCTAGGATTATTCAGGTTACCACACATTTACTTAATGAAAAAGGAAATTACTAAACATGTAGAAGACAAGGAGTATAATCCTGAGTCCTTCTTGCATAATATTTTTCCATTTGGACTCAGGATCGTAGGAATTGTATGATCATGGGAAGAAGCAGTCTGCCAGGTGGTAGAACTGCATAAACTTCAAATAAACACTAGAAATGGGAGCAAATATAAATACAAAACTTTGTTTTTAAGATGAGCAATGTACAATTAAAATAGATATAGTGTAAGTATTACAGAAATCAGTACATAAATGTGGTATTTCTGTTTGACCTTTGGCCCATGTAAGATTCACGACATCATTCTAATTGATGTCTCCATCATGCATATTTACCACTTCAGGTTCATAACTTACTAGTTATTCATAAATACAAAGATGCAATCGTTTTATTTTTGATTGAGTGAGTGTGTGAAGAGTGGCAAAGGGTGTACATTTAAGTGTACGATGCTTGGGTATGATAAACCTTTAGTAATACGTGCTGTAATATAGACTTAGAGGAACGTTCTCCTTAAATTTTCCCTAGAAGTAATCGAAATATTTTTGTGCATATTTGGGAAAAGGACACTTTTCTTATTAATTGTTGATGTAGAGAAACTATGCTTAAGCTGGCCTTTTGCATTGCTAATGTGACATGCACCCATCCCTTTTAGTTGGTATGTTCATTAAGTTGGATATTCTGTGTTTTGTAATGTTTGGATTGTTAATGCAAGAATATGATGTGTCCATTGTTTGCTGCACATTGTCATTCATCTTTTGCTGGATAAAGATGCATTGTTTTTCTCTTGGAGTGAGGAAATGAAAATATACAATTTGAACCTATTAAATTGGTTGTTATGGAAATATATTAGTAGCCATAGGTGCACAGCTGATCACTGGAATGGAACTTTTTTGAGTCCACAATGGAGCTCTTCTTTGGATGTTAGTTACCTGAGTCTTGGTTAAACTCAGGAAGGAGGAGCAGTGGGTACTACAGGTGATTTACTAAAGACTTCCATCATGGTTATTGAAGACTGACCATCTAAACTGGGATACTTTTAATAGTAAATGAGGACATTACTAATAATCAGTCTGCATTGGATTCAAATATGAACGGTCCCCAGCAGACTAGAACAGAGTGCATACTATCACAGATACATCTTTACCCATGGCTTTTACCTCAAGACAATACCAATCTGATACAAGAAGGCATTGCTATACCCGAGCATACTGAGGAGTGGAAAGACTGTGAGGGAATGTAACATCACAACAGAAATGCAGCAGTCATTGATGTTCTAAAGATATGAAACCCTACATGGTAATCTGCTAGAATTCATTTATAATTATCTACTCCACACCCCTCTACTGCGGTAGCCATAGAGTATTGTTCTACTCCGCCTTTGCAGTGGAATATCTAGTCAGTTTACATTTTACACCTGTGCCTGTCATGATAGGTTAATTTGGTCAGGTGAATAATTCTGCAAATGTACTTAGGGCAATTGCTTTTTTTATTATCTGGAATGGACTTCAGAAACAATTGATTTTTTTTTTTCCCAGTAGTTAAGCACTGGCTGATCCCTAGGGAGCAAACATCAAACAGACTTAGCAGCCACAGGAGTCCTTCCTGTGTTAAAAAAAAAAAAAAAAAAAAAAGAAGAAGAAGATCAAGCAGTTGTCCTTTTTCTCCTTTAATATTATCATTTACTGCATGTGTACAGCATTACATCTGAACTTGCCCAAATGAGAAAGCATATACTTGCTTTCATTAGGAGAATATATATTTCTGGTTAACTCTATGATAAGGAAAATTTTATAATTATTCAATGTTAGACACAAGCCCCTCCTGGTAGAGTACTGGTAGCAGACAGAATTCAATGTGTTTAGCATTGTTTATTAGATATTGATCAAGTACAGAAAAAACTGACCTTGAAAGTTTATAACAGAGCAGCATAGGGTGTCACAGCCAAATCTATTAACATAATGACTGCTGGTCATGAGAAATGCAGACTACTTCATGGAAATATGATCATTTGGACCTCAGTGGGCCATAACAGTGGTCAGTCTTAGGGAACTTTGCAACCAAATATAAGTTGAAGTCAAGCAAAATCATCATAATACCATTGATAATTCACATTGATATTAGAAGTCTACAGTTCAAGTAAGAAAAAAAAAACATAGAAATTAATTTGGGTGTTATGATTTCCATCTCTGGGTAACATGTCCTTATTATTCCAGTGAAACATTCAAGGGCTATTTTGATTTTGAAGTCTTAATGTCATGGACATGCCCAGAGGCTTGCTGGGGAGTGGTTGTTTATGAGATGTTGTTATGGGATGACACACAGCAAGCTGCCCCACAAAGTCCTGTTCAGTATTTTGTCTCATCTTTGTTTTGATATGACCAAATTGCAATGTATCTATCTATATATTTTAAAAGGAACAATTCAAACTGCAGTATGGTTAACTTGGTAATAGCAAACAAAATTTAACTCTTTGAGTGTTAAACTGTCTCTCTTTTCCAAAGATGACACACCCTCCTCAGCATTAGTGCCATTGTCATTTATACTGCCAAGTAGCTTTATAGATGAATACAATAAACTTTCTGATAAAAAACAACAAAAACTCTAAAGCAGTATTTCTTTCATGTGACTCGGTTGACCAAGGAGAGAAAGTTTATGATGCTACTAGAAATTTAAGACTTTGTCATGTGTGGCTCTAGAGTACTCTCTCCGTACATTAAAAAAATAGTAGCACTTTGTTATATTTAATTGCTCTTGTGTATGCCTTTCCTTTAGATCAGCAGTTCTCAACCTTTCTAATGCTGCGACCCTTTAATACAGTTCTTCATGTTGTGGTGACTCCCAAACCATAAAATTGTTTTCGGTAATACTTCATAACTGTAATTTTGCTGCTGTTATGAGTTGTCATGTAAACAATCTTTGAAGACAGAGGTTTGCCAAAGAGGTCTCCACCCACAGGTTAAGAACAGCTGCTTTAGATTTGTTACATTTGTTTGTTTTCAAGACCAGATCTTATGTAGGTCAGGGTGGTTGAAGATGACCCAAACTACTGACATTCCTGCTTCTGTCTCCAGAGGGCACCACCGGGTCCCCAGCCCAAGATTACTGTTCTTGAAACATAGGAGCCTCATTTTATTCACATGTGGACTGGCTTACATTTTCAGAGGGTGAGTTCCATGACCATCATGGTGGGAAGTAAGTGTGGCAGCAGGCAGGCAGGCATGGTTCTGAGAGCTTACACCGGATCTGCAGGCAGCAGGCAAAGAGAGACTGGGCCTACTGGGCTTTTGAAACCTCAAATCCCGACCCTAGTAACACATCTATTAAAACAAGGCCATACCTCCTCCAAAAAGGCCACACCTATTAATCCTTCCCAAATAGTTCCACTAACTGGGCACCAAGCATCCTAACATAGGAGCTCTATAACATTACCATCAGCCCTCCTCTGTTCATATAGATGCTGTGTTCAATTTCAGCACCTCTGTAGATCTCCCTGGTCCTTTGCATACTGCAACGAGTGCCCTTAGCAGATGGCCACTGCCTAGTGGCTAGTCATGAAAGTGCTAGTCCTTTTCAACACAGCACTGGCATAAGGCTTTCAGTTTGAAAATCCAAGTAGGAAACATGAGTGCATCACTTCAGTTGCTGTGAGCTGGTGAGAGGGAATTATGGAGGGAGTACCTACCCAGTGAGGGCCAGCTGACTTGGGAGGGTACACAGGGAGAAAGTAAGGGAGGGATGTCTCCATTGTCACATTCACAGTGGTGACAGAAGCTAGTGATGTTGGGTTCCCTTAAAGAAAGAAGAATAATTCCCAGGTTGGGTTGAGAACATCTGCCTCTACTTGGATTTCCAAACAGTGGCTATCTGCTAAGGCCACTTATTGCACTATGCCAAGGACAAGAGAGATCTACAGAGGTGCTGAAATACACTATTTATATGAACAGACAGGGGAAGACAGGTGGGAATGGTGTAGCACAGTTAGAAGGGAAAAATGAAAGTAGACAATTAAGTGAGCATCTATTATGGAGATGGAGGTAATGTGGGACTCAGGATTAAAGCTCTAAGGAAATATAATCATAAGAGCAGAGAGAGTTTCCTGGAACTAAAAATGACTTATTGCTTTAAAAATATATTAGTAGAATGTAAAAATAAGGAAAATATATTAACTAAGAAGGTTGAATCCCTATTTTCAAAGATGAGATGAATTAAATAAAGTCTCTCTTACTTGTGAGGGTTGTATGTGTATCTGTGTGTATCCATGAAGAGGTAGGAAGAGGATGACAGGGGTCTTCCTCTATTGCTTCCCACATTAGTTTTTGAGTCAGGGTCTCTCACTGGGCCTGAAGTTCAGTATGTTGACTAGGCTGGTTAGCTAGCATGCTTGGGGGATCCTTTTGTCTCTGCCACCAATAGTGACATGCACAGCCATGCCTGACTATTGTTCAGTGGTACAGAGGATTTGAGTCCATGTCCTCTTGTTTATATAGCAAGTTCTCTCTCGCCAACTGAGCCATCTCCTCAGCCCAAGAATAAAATCTTAAAGATGGAACTCACAGGTGTAAAGACTGGTCCAAAGGTCCTAATATG